CAAATCCCTAAAAAGTGGTATATATACTCTACATCTGGCCTCTTTGATCAAGTATAAAGTTATTTGGTTAATGACGGACGAATTTTCACCGGAATTGATGGAGATTACCTCGGAAACAGCGTCAACATGAATATTGCAGTAAAGCCAATCGACAGCTAGTCAAGAGTAATCCGCCGTCGTCTTCTGGTGGAACCGACCTTTGAATCTCTTCACCCAACACTTCCACTCGAAATGGAAGTAAGCTCAACAACTACTTGATTGCCTGACAAAGTCATCAAGGCTCAATTAATATGCTGGGCTTTGCTCATGGCATACATCATGTTTTCAAGATGTCAGCAGCGCCTGTATCACGCAGATAAAGCGCTACCATGTCGGCTGGATTCGATGAAGAGAACACCCAAGCAACATAGTGGCATTTGAAGGGCTGGTTTTATTCCAGAAAGGATGCAGTCACTGGCAAGTTAGGGAATCCTATTCTCGTCTTGCATAATTCCGCTGACAAGTGTAATCAAGCCGAACTCTTTTTTTGGGGGAAATCTTTATTTCATATGACAGTGGATGGAGAAGAGATTCTTCTGTTAATCGCATCAGAAGACGACGTCTGAAGCCTGTTGTACTGCAGCCGTTTGTCTTTAATACGATGTTAAAGTTGACGTAATTCAAGAGACATCCTTCCTCGTTTCGGGTAAGAACAGGATGAACTTTTGTCCATCTTTCGATGGACATCATCAGAGCTGGAACTCATTCTTGTAAAAGTCTCACGTCAATAGCACCAGATCAAGAAGACTATCCGGCTCTATCTTACCTGTCATATATACTCATAAAGAAAAACGTAAATAAATAGACAGATAGTTATAGGATTTTTTGGCTAATTATCCTTCATACTACATCTGCTACTTTTGCGTGAGTCTCTTTGTGTGTGTGTGTGTGTATGTGTGTGTGTGTGTGTGTGTTTGTGTGTGTTAAAGTCTATAGGCAATAACGGTCTAAGATGAGAGTGATCTAAAAAGGCAAATGCCAAGCTCTGGTCATCAAGGCTTAATGATCCAAGATGGTTCAGTGATGGTTCTAACCTCACTCACACTCGTCCAACATGTTAGATTAAGCTCTTTAACCAAACCAGACGTACCAAATTACGTAGTCATAGTCATGCCTTTCCTTGAGTGGCCTAAATTTAATGAACCTAGCCTGAGAGGTCAGGTAAAGTGGTTTCTTAACTTGACTTACGCACTTACAAGCTTGCATCTCATCATCTCAATCATACTTGCTTATGACCTCACGCAATTTTGGTCAGGGCTTTTTCATTTTATTGGGTCATTAAGTCTTGATCACCAGAGCCTTTTTATATCCCTTGCATCTAGGATCGGTATTGCCTATAGACTTTAACACACACACACACACACACACACACACGTTAAATTAGCAGA